CTTAGCATCTGTTTGAGTACACACAACTAAGGGATCCTTGGCCAGTGTAAGTCATTATAAAATGTTCAAAGATTTGATAAATATGGTATCCCATTTTATCTACGTCTATAGGTTATCAGTCCATGCTAGCAACGTAATTCACTAGACCGCCTTGAGTAGTCAAGTGTTGTCATCTACTCTGGTCGATGACGCAGACACACCTACAGGTTTTTTGATCTGGACCCACCATTTCTGGTCATCCAAGAAAGAGGAGGAATACGACACTCCACTATCTAATCTCACACTCTACCCACAGAATGAGACATATCTAATGTTCGACTTATTGGGAACTAACACCTTTTTACAAGTCTTATTAATAATAATCCACAAACTTATACTAAGGCAATATATGTCTAATACAGTTCCTAATAGGAAATACTATCTTACTTATATTATTAGCACAAAATACAGTTAATACAACTAACACACAATAAATACTTTTATTAAAGTTATGTACTTAATAGTAACTATGCACTCACTTGACAAAGTGTCTGGTGATTGGTGAATTAGGCAGAGCTTCCCCTTACACATTTTCCAAAAGACCTAGATGTACATAAGTTATGTCTAGTTTAGTTTCATACTTCATGGAACTATTATCATAAGGTTTAGATTCCTCAACAATCCCAAAAGTGTACTTCAAGATCTATCAAGTAAGGATCACCAGGTAGGAACATTCGGGAGACATGGCCAGTTTAGCATATAGCCTTTTTTAATCCAACAACCAAGAAGCCGATGCCACCCTTCCAGTCACCTCTTCCTTAAGTAGATCAATCATTATAATGACTCGGAATCATTGATAAATCTTAATTATAAGTTCCTAGTATCGACTTATAATTATAATCATAAATTACATGGAAGCAGAGTAAGTGTAGCTCACTTACAGAGTGCTCTTAATGAAAACCAAGAACTAAGCAGGCATAATACTGACGTGGGAACTTCTACTCGAAGGTTACAACTAGTTGAGCTGTCACAACTAGCATTTTAGCTAGGAAGTTCTTTTCTCATGTAAACATCATCTACTGTAAAGCATGTACTCTAAGTGAAAATCATACTCTATGCTTTATCAAAACCATCCATTTGACTCCAAACTCTTGATTTGAGTTCAAAACCTAATACAATTAGGGGTACAAACGAGTCAAGCCGAGCCCGAGCCTGACCAAGCTCGAGCTCGGCTCGCTTAAAATTTGTATGGCTCGAGCTCGAGCTCGGCTCGTTTCGAGCCCAAATAAAGAGCTTGAGATTCGGCTCGTGAAGTAATACATAGGCTCGGGCTGGCTCGGGCTCGGTCGGCTCGTTTTGTTTAACTGAGCCTAAACGAGCTTAAGCTTGGCTCGAGCTCGATAAAAGCTCGTTGCAAAATGAATTCCAGAAAAAAAAACAAAAATTTACTTAATAAGTTTTAAACTCCAACATACAAAAATAAAAAAATGTAATTAAATCATCCAAAAGAAAGTCTTCCTATCATGGAAGGTCAAATACAAAAATACTATAAAAACGATAAAATTTAACATACATATTATCAAAACTCAAAAGCCAATCTTCCTTGAAGCAAATTCAATCCAGCAAAATCGCAAATTAAAACATTTTATGAGAGTGCAATATAATGTAATTAAAACAACAAGATTACAAGTAGATTAAATGGCTTACACACTTGAAGTATTACTTGGTCCCTGTAGGTAAGAAAACCTCAATGGGCATTTCCTCCTCTGTAAAAAGAACCCCCCAATACAATCAAATATTAATAAATTTAAATAATAAATTGTTAGTTTCATGTATTGTTAAGTTTATCAAATGTACCTTCAATTTTTTCTTGATTCCATAAACGAGTGTAATAATCCAAGCTCCTCCACAATCAACTTTGAACAGTGTCCGGTGCCAATGAAGATCGGTATGGATCAATTACTCTAACCCCCAGCACTAAATGTTGCCTCAGATGCACGGGTAGAAATCGAGATCGCAAGCACATCCATAGCCATGTTTTGATAAAACATCGGTACTTCAGTTATGAACATTCCACCACTCCAAAGCCTTGAATGAATCCATGTCCTTTTGTGGCCCTGGTTGCCTATAACCACCTTCCGCCAAATACATATCTAATTCTGACTTTTTCTGTCTCTCCAAATCTGTGTTTTTTATAAACTCCCCAAAAGCCTCCCATCCTGACCCGAGTGACGTTGTTTTTGACACTTCATTTCCTCCACATCCATTTGCAGGCATTGCAGCTTCTCGGACTGACGCATCATGTATTTCCAAATACTCCTCATACATTTCATAAAGTGCTTTCTTCACTTCTTCAATGCTCTTTTCAGCATTGGAGTATATGGTTGGGAAACTAAATCTACTAACTTCATTTTGAATCTTGGATCTAACACTGAAGCTATAGCCATGACAAGATGGCACTCCCCCCAATATTTGTCAAACTTCTCCTTCATCTTAGTCACCATAGTCCTAATGAAATCATTTTTGATAGAGCACCTTTATCCAAAGTTTCTTTTACTCTTAACACCTCAATCAAATACAGATTGGATGTTGGATAATCACTTCTAGAAACGACATTTGTGCATACCTGAAAATAAGTTGCTTTAGTATTAGGCATGATAAAATATTTAAAATAACACTTAAATAAAGGTAATATGCACCTTTAAAACCTTCAAGATTTCACATACACTCTCCCATGCGCCCACTCATCATCATTAGGCAAGTGATGGAAATGTGGCTTGTACTTCCGCAAATCTATGAAAATCAAAAAAGCTTAGTGATGTGCAATATTTGAAAATCACAACATTCAAACTATTTTATTAAAATGTAATGTAATACCTTGGGAAAACATCTTTTAAATTTTAATGCAACCGACAACATATCATAGGTTGAATTCCATCGTGTTGGAACATCAAGCATAACTTTCTATCTTGTATTTGCAGTTGATGTGCTATTTGAAAATGTTTGAAGTCTCGCCTCAGAATTGTTAATATATTTGATACCCTCACGAACTTCCCCGAAAAGAATCAATCATATCAAGACCATCTTTCACAAGAAGATTCAAAATGTGTGCACAACATCTAACAAAATGAAAAACCTCCCACCACACGTGAGTTTTTCTCACTCTAGAAAAATTTATTCAGTCTTCTCAACGCCCTGTCATGTATTCAGCAGCATTGTCTACAGATATCGTGATATCTTGTCCTCAATTTCCCAATGCTTCAAACATTTATAAATACCATCATCAATATCAAGTCCGGTACGAGGAGGAGGAACATGTACAAAACTCAAGACACGTTTTTGCAATCTACAAAAGCAAGTCCAGATACCAATATGAATATATTAAATAAAATGGACATGCCTTATAAAAAAATAGAAAAAGAAATCAAACCTCCAATTATGATCAATAAAGTGCCCTGTGATAACCATGTACTCAATCTTCTGATGAGATGACTTCCAACAATCAGTGGTCAAACTGATTTTTGAGGCTGCTTTTGTAAGAGCTGTCAGTGTTTTTTTCTCATGCTCATATATCTTAAAACAATCTGCTTTTGTTGAAGTCCTGCTTGTTTTCTCAAATAATGGAGTAGTTGTCTTCATCATATGTACGAATAAATCATCCTCCACAACAGAAAAAGGTTGCTCAGTACCCAACACCCAAGTAGCTATTGCTTCTCTCATTTTGTTACTATTATACTTTGCATAAGGCATGATCAATGAAGGAAGCTTCTCATGTCCTGCATCTCCATCAGACTTAATAAATGGAAAATTCAATAAATTCTGTTTTTCTTCAAAATCTTTATGTGGCTTGCATATAAGCAAGTGCCTTTTTAAATTTGATGTAGTCCCGCTATCACTATAAGTTAACCTTCTTTTACAATGATTACACTGGGCTTTTTTGGTACCATTAGATAGAGTCACTACAGTGAAACCGTCCCATGGCTTTGATGTTTTTTTCGTTTTCGTTTCATTACTAATTCCTCTTCTCCCGCTTGGATTTATGCATTTTGACTTGGAATATCATTTTGAGGAGTTGGTTGTTCATCAGCATCCACATTTACAGGGGCAGATTGCTCCTTATTCTCAACCCCTTCCATTGGATCTGAACTCACATCACCATCCATAATATCTGCAGCATGGTTTATGAAAGAACATTTGTCAAAATAGGTACATTTAATAAACATTCTCAATTGATCAACATTAAACAATAAATTTTCCTGATAAGGATCTTTAATTAATAAAGAGTGAATAATATGAGTTATCTTCAGCAAAACGATAAATATGCAAACTTAAAAGTTAAAACTAGAATTCATAACTCCAACAAGTAGAAATATATGAACCCACAACACAATCTCCTAAGAATCTAGACTTAACAATTAAAAGTAGTGTTTCATTTAAACCAAGTTAATATATCCCAGAAGACAAACAATCAAAAATAGAAAAATAGAGATTGACAACATTCCCATATATTCGATTGAGCAGAAAAAAACAGGCAGATGTGAATTCTTTCAATTGAGTAGATAACTATTTTATCAGTTTAAGAAAAGAAAAAAGAAGCACGAAGAAACAGTCAAACAGACATTGATCCACTCTGTATGTATATAGGAAAAGTACTCTAGGATCGAAAAGGGCTGTTGGTAATAGGGGAAATCGAAGATGATGGGCACAAAAGAGGGTAACCTGATGGGTTTTGAGAAATACATCAATCCTATGGTGTACATGCAAACCCTAATAGCTTTGGATCTAGTTTGTCTAATGAACATGCAATTGATAATCCAAAGCCATAAACCCTAGATCTAATAAACAATAACTGAAATTAGGGTTTAGATCTTACCTTTGATTGTTATATAGCAATAACAATCAATCCTTGGCTTCAGAAAGCTTAGTGCCTCAAGTGTTGCACCTCTAATGGAGTCACAAACACCACTAAGCAACTTGGATGAAGAGGGAGGAGAGAGGAGGCACCAAAAACGGCAGGAAACCCTAAAGGAACACTTAGCCACGTTTTTGGGGCATAGGGGGCCTTTATATACATGTAGGCTATTAGGATTTACAACTAGGAAACCCTAATCTGGCTGCTTAAGCCCTAAGCAGCCCATGGACTCCTTTAACATATCCCTTAGACGAATTCCTTATGGGCTTCCCATAGAATTCGTCCAACCTATATTATTTGAGGTAATCCTAGCCCAATTGCAATTATCTTATAATTACAAATCCAGTCCCCTAAGTTTAATTAATCTCTTTTAGCCACAAAAATTCTTAATTAATTCTTGACTAATATCAATTAAACATTATGATTTCTCCTTTATATATTATTCTTATAATATATTAATAATCATAATTAAACCTTTCTCTCCTTAATCATCCTACATATTGCTATGGTGAAGGCAACCCAAAGGACCATGCTCATAATCGGGTCAAGTACATACCAAAATAGTTATGGACTTAGACACTAATCCAACAGTCTCCCACTTGGATAAGTCTAATACTATTTTTGCATACTTCAGAACCTGATCAGCAATCGTAGCTTTCAAATTCCGATGTCATCTCTGATCTTATCAGATACGCGTGTCCTTTAGATAAGGGATTATATATTCCTCCATTCTCAAGATATCGTATAGACACAAGACATGAATTTGATCATTATCTCTATACTGTTTCCCTTTCCCGACTTCCGATTTATGACGACTGACAACAGACTACAATTGAACACATCAACTTAGTCCCAGCTTGGCCAAGCGCTTAGGGTGTCATCACTAAATCATCGAGGGGCCCACATATATCGCTTTTATATATCCCACGTGGGGTAAAAGGAATGGATAAACTTCGACTCAAATGCTCGCTTGCATTTATGATCGAATCACACACAACAATAAGTTTTATAACACCAAGTTACTGGTGCGTTTTCTTATTATCAATGCGCAACCGACTAACAAATAACAACTCACACGTCTCGGTTTCAAGAATATACAATGTTATCGTCTCACAATTACTCATGATAAAAACCATGAAGTGATTCAAGTGAGCGTGGGTTTGATCCAATACTCTAATATTATTAAAGCACTCATGAACTCTGCAACAAACTTGTGCTATGTCTAAACACTTAGACAATCTACAGACAAATTCATGACAGTCTTCCTTCATACCTACTTCCAACGTCTGACCGACTGTGGAGGTTCGAATAACCCAGTTATTCTAGAAGTCAAAACATGCAAACTGAAACACAACAATAATACTTAATCCTATATGGCCCCAAACTTGTGAGAGTAAATAAAACACTTCTATTTAACCACCATATTGATTACTCATTATTTATCATTTAATGTTTCGGATAATCAACTCATTACTTGAATTACAATCAACAATTGTCCCATGCTCCAAGCATGCACACTTTGTTTCCTATGGTCCATGCTTTGTGAAATAAATCAATTTAAAACTTTTCCAATGATGCTCATTTCACAATTCCTAATCCTCATCGTTAGTGTAAGAACACAAGGTTCTTGCCACTACTAGAATACGTTAGATTCTAACATTTTATGCAACGATCCTTTCGCAAAGTCATAGCACAAAACTCACCAAGACTTGGCCAATGAAATTACAAGGTCTCTATCAGAAATTGTTACAAACAATTCTATAGACGTGATGTCTCTCAAAGTACATTCCTTTGAACATCCTTTTGCATAAAATTTTCTAATCTAGACATAAATTCTCAATTTCCAACTCCCAATATGGAAACATTTCCATATTTTCCATATGACAACTCATTCTAAATAGAATCTTATCTATTCATAATAATGTCGATATGGTCCATCCAATACTATACTTCCAACTACTCACAAGCAACAAATCATTGGCGAACCTTAGATCGTCCTTTGATAGTTGTTTAATTATTTTATTCAAACTTGGTTCTAGTCCTTTTCCCTCTTAATGCCCCAGGCACTTGGAAAATAGAACGGTCGAATATTATGGCATATACAATCGATCTATACCCAAAACGTATAGAACACGATTGATAATGTCTCACATGAAGACGTGATACTTTACCAGTCTTCTGCTATAATATTTCTAATTGCCATGTTCTCACAATTTTGATTATGAAAAGGGATGCCATAATCATAACCAAATTTTGAGAATGCAATTGTCCTTTCCATATATAGAATTTCCTCATGTTGAACCATTCCAACACAACATTCATATATATTTGACTAAATTTGACTAAAATTCCACAATCTAAGCCTTTAGATTTGAAATGAAGTATAATATTCTCTCCCTTAATTATAGCAAAACAACTTTTCAACCCCTACAACTTGGCAAAGTGAATCTTTGTTTTCTATAATTAATATTGCTAACTCGCAATACTTACCATAATAATCATGCTCCCACTAACATGATGATTATTTCCTTATTGGCATAATACTTATGCTCCCACTAGCTTTGACATGTATTCAAAAAACAATGGAACTTCCAGAGGACAATGCTTATTGAATTCCTTAAGTTCATATTTCCAATACCTGATGCTTTGATAAGCCTTTATCTAAGCTTCTTAACTCATACACCTTTGCCTTAGAAAGCTACATTGTGTGTCTAAACAAATTTAGAACTTATGTTACTAAGTCCCAAATGTTCAGACTAATTGCCAAATCTCACAATTCAAACCATGAAAAGGGATGTCGTAATCATAATCGAATTTGAGAATACAATTTTCACAATTGCAATCTTCTTAAAATCTCTCTTAGTGAAAGCATTTCCTCACAATCATTTTCATGATGGAGAGAAACCTTATGACACATAGATTTTAAAGTGTATGTGTTCCTATCCATGTGAATTTGTCATATCAACAATCATAAGACAATGTTTGTGACAAATCCAGCTTATATGGATTGAACTTGTTCAATCTTGATTTCTTGCCTTATGGTAACACAAATGCCCACCATGTATTTCAAGTTGTTTAGCAACTCACCCCTACATATCAATGTACGTTCCATTGATCAAGGTGCTTGCCTTTATGCATTCAAATGAGGACTCATAGAACTCACATACATAGTTAACTCAATCTGGAATGGCACAGAAACAAAATTATGTCAACACGATAGGTTGCCAACCTCAAGTCGTGTGCTAGTGATTAACTATTGGTTTATTTTTGAATTTGTTCTTGAAACGTTTCAAGACATTTAAGACTCCCACTGACTCCTTGACATATAAGGTTCTCTTGTCAAGAAACATTTCTTGACAAAACAAATATTCAAGAGTTAGTGTAGCTTCTTATCAAGTTTAACACTTCACTCAATTGGTCCTAGTTGGTCTTTGTCTTATCCAAGACATCACAACTTACCAATTTCAAATATACAAGAATAAGAAACTTTCTTATTCTACATTGATAAGTGTTACAAACCTACTTAAGACTTATCACTCATGTCACAATCTTGACTCTAAGACTTGATATTGGAACGAAGTATGATTGACTTCTTGATTTAACCATTTCTACAATTCTCGATTCCTCTTCTTAGACATGCAGTTGCACTAAGACTCACTTAGAGGATCAATTGAGACATGGTTCTTAATCATTAAGACCTATCATAAAACACAATAAAAGTTACTATCCCTTCTTCTTAGAATAGAGAACTTTTATCTTTCTGCTACTAGATTCTTCTTATTCGTTCTGCTATTGATTGAAACTCTTTCAATCAACCAGAATTATACTCAATCTTATAAGTATAACCATATTTACTAAACTTTAGTAAATCATGACTAATATCTTTATCACTTTGTGGTGGACTTGATCAACGTACAACCTAGTGTACTCGATCTCCTAGTCCTTCACTTGACACTTTGTCAAAGAATTAGTCTAAATTTCCCAAATGTGAAAGTTTTTCATTCATCATACAATACAGGTTGCATGATTCCAAGTTTCTTCCAATTGAAACTTGGGCGATGAAAAACTCTCCCTATTTGGTAAACTCTCGACACTTCCACAAATAACCTAATTAAGAATCAAATCCATCATTGCTAATAATGGAAACATTCAAACATCAATTTTTCATACATGCCATCGCAAGGATAAATAAATAAGACAAAATCAAAATTTATTTTATTGCGGAAAAAATTTGTCCTTACAATGCAATTC